AGGCAGTGAAGTGAGTGAGTGAGGCAGTGAAGTGAGTGAGTGAGTGAGTGAGTGAGTGAGTGAGTGAGTGAGTGAGTGAGTGAGTGAGTGAGTGAGTGAGTGAGTGAGTGTTGGGAGTGTTGGGAGTGAGGGAGTGAGGGAGTGAGGGAGTGAGGGAGTGAGGGAGTGAGGGAGTGGTGGTTAGGTCGCAGGCCATGCGGTGCCCAAAAGGACATCCGGGGATTCAAGCCATAAAAAACAGGTGGCTGGGTTCATATTAGTTGTTTGCCGTTCAAGCTTGCCATGCTGATTTGGGTCAACCATTCGTTCAATGGTGGAACCCTGAGGGAGTGAGGGAGTGAGTGAGTGAGCGAGTGAGTGAGTGAGCGAGTGAGTGAGTGCGTAAGTGAGTGAGTTGAAAGTAGCTTGCTTATGTCGTGCAGATGCTCCACCCCTCCTTCAGTGCCGCCCCACGAAACCCCCCAAATGCACAAGTGCCTCCCGGAAGCATTTCGCCAATACCTACCTGGCTAGGGGTATGATGCTAGTGCTCAAAAGACAGACTTTGAAGACAGCCCGCCTGCCGGGCCCACGGGAATGTCCAGCAAATGTTAGAAAAGGATTCCGGAAGCCATCCCTGCTTCTCCACCATGGAACTCTATTAACTCACTCCCTGAGTTCCTGGACTGTATACTTGTTGGGAAGACCCTTTTAAATTGTTGCTTAAATGGAAACCGATAGGTGACCCAGTTGTTGGGTTCCCCTTCCTTTCGAGGGTATGCCCTCCTTCCACTGCCTCGCGAGTGGGATCGACGTGTTTGTCTCATGCAGAAACCGCCTGTGGTAGGGGTACACCCTCGGTATGGATTCGAATCCCATGCTGAAGCAAATGCATGGGATTGTCCCCTCCATTTTCATCCAAGCCGGTTTGACCAAGAATCAAGACTCCCCCTTCTAAGGAAAACAACAAAACATACAATGTCTGTCCCAAAACTCCCCCCCCCCCGCCCCCGAAAAAGGAAACAAAACACAAAAAAGATGGAACAAATCAACAAAATTCTGTCCGAGCTTCTCCCTGGGAGCCAGGCTTTGCTTGTGCCTTGGACTCCTTCCTCAAGCTAAACCGGAGGAGTCTGCGGATCTGCTCCGCCATTGCCAATGCCGCCGGGTGAAGGGCCCAAGCTAAAAAAAACACTGCGGCATGTGTCGAGTTAGCACGACAGCCAAGCAACTGGCAACCCAAGCAGGCGACTCTTGAAATACTGATACCTGGAGTCTCCCTAAACACCCGAAATAAAAATGGTTGGTCATTACCCGAAAAATGATTCGGGGTCATGGACCACCATTTGTTTTTTTAAGGGTCATGGAGACTCCAGGTATACCAAGCCTGCGTCAGAACTTGACGTTTCGCAGGCTGAACAACAACCAGGTACAATGTGTGCCTCACACGCTCCTCCTACACCCCCAGGTGAAGACGCCTAGAAGGGCAGGTTGCCACAGCTGGAAGAACCTGTATCCTCCGCAAGGCTTTCAAAAAGTATGTCATCCTCGAACCAGTAGCGGACATGGGTGGGGAGGACCCGAAAGCAATATCTACCGCAGAGCTGCTGTCCACTTCGAAGACAGGTGCAACTCTTAAAATGAAGCCATGGTGAGACCTTCCTGCTGATCACAGCATAGGTTCGCCCCTTGTGCATCCTGTCCCATGAATCGAGCGTCACAATACCAAATGCCAACAATGTATCTAACAGACGGCCCTTCAAAACCATGTTCGGCCCAGGCTGTAGGCAAAAGCCTCTGAGCTGACCTGTCGGAATCGAAATAGGAAAGCCCCTTTTTTGAAACCTTTTGCGACCCTTTGGCTCCTAATCCATCTGCGTTCAACCATCCGCCTGCTGGTCTGGCGGGTCTCGCCACGTCAGGTTCCCCGAGATACCGGTCCTGCGATCCATGGTGCCACATGGGCCAAAATCCGTTTTTGGGCCAAACCAAATCGCCTCCTGAGCGTAGGACAATTCTGCGAGTAACCCTTTATATAGCACCTCATGCTACCATGGGCATCAAGGATTAAAATTGTGGGGGTACCCAAAAGCTGGATTAGGTCATGATCATGAGAAAATCACCGGTGTAATTATGAAGAGCTGAATGTATGACAGGTCAATCTCCCATTGTGAATGGAATCAACTCTAAGCCAGCAATTTGGATTTTCATGGGACCCTAGTCTTCGTTGACGTTGGAAGGGGAGCAAAATTTAAGCCTTAGCAGTTAAGTGGGGAGTTCCTTCTAAACCACAACAAGCAAGGATGTCAAATGTTTCCCACCAACAACCATGTAGTTGTAAGGCAAACGGCCTTGGTGGAACGTCCTGAGCTCCTCTTGGAGAAAAGCCAGTCTGCCAGCCGAGCCAAACCGCCCAAGAGCTACTGGAACATCCCTACGACTGTGTCACCTTTGACTTCTCTCGGTTGCGAAATCTGCTCTCCTGCTAAAAGTTTAACTTTTGGTTTAATGGAAAACCCATTAGTTGGCAAAAAGTTCAAGTCCTAACATCCCTTGGCAAAATGCACCAGAACTCTCTTGGTATCACAGAACTTGAGCTTGAAGCTACCTATCTCCCATGGCTCTCCTGGAATCCGGGACAAGGATTGCGGCTCTTTGGAATTGGGATATCACGCTCAACAAAAATCCGCCCCACCCAAAATGGGTTCACATACGGAGGATGCTAAACGCTAAACGTGCAGATCCGAAACACAGCCCAGAACATGGCCTACCTGGTCTCTGTGGGATTCTGCCTCCGCTGCCGAAAAACATACTGTTCATCTTCACCCCCCATCATTTGTTCCCCCCTCCCAAAACACACACACACACACCAAAAACCACACACCACACACCACACACCTACCACCCACACACACACACACCACACACCACACACGGCTCCAGTGTTTTTTTTTTGGATTCACGTATTTTGAAATCACTTCTGGGGGTCCAGGTGGTTTTTTTTTTGAATCCTCGCCGGGGTGGCCAGGTGTCTTTTTTTTGAATCCTCGCCGGGGTGGCCAGGTGTTTTTTTTTTTGAATCCACGCCGGGGTGGCCAAGTGTCTTTTTTTTGAATCCACGCCGGGGTGGCCGGGTGGTTTTTGTTTTAAACACATCTGGGGGTCCCTGGTGTTTTATTTTTTGAAATCACCTCTGGGGTCCCTGTGTTTTTTTGACCCCCCCAGAGAGACACACACACACACACAACACAGACACACCCCCCCCCAGAGAGACACACACACACACACACACACAGCCGCAACACAGACACACATGCGCGCACAGAGAGAAAGCACCCCCGCAAGCGAGACAAAAAAAACAGCGAGGGGAGACACACACACACACAGACACACAGAAAGCACGCCCGCAACCGAGACAAAAACACAGCGGGGACAAAAAAAACGAGGGGAGACACACACACACACACACACACACACACACACACACACACACACACACACACACACACACACACACACACACACACACACACACACACACACGCAGACACACAGAAAGCACGCCCGCAACCGAGACAAAAACACAGCGGGGACACAGAGAGAAAGCACCCCAAAGCACCCCCGCGACCGATACAAAAACACAGCGGGGGGGTTGGGGGGGGCGGCAGCCCCCCCCCAGAGAGACACACACACACACACAATACAGACACACACACAGACACACACACACACACACGAGAAAGCACCCCCGCAGCGGGGGGGTTGCGGGGGGCGGCAGCCCCCCCCAGAGAGACACACACACACACCACAGACACACAGACAGCGGGGACACAGAGAGAAAGCACCCCCGCAAGCGAGACAAAAACAGAGCGGGGGGGTTGGGGGGGGCGGCAGCCTCCCCAGAGAGACACACACAAATCTCCAACCCACCCGTGGTGTTTTTTTGAAATCACGCCGTCAAAGGGTGTTTTTTTCTTTGGAATCACCAGTCGCTCACTCACTTGCTTGCTCGCTTCGTCTGTGAAAAGGTCCTGTTTTGTTTTGAATTCACGCCGTGGTGCCCTGTTTTCTTGCTTAATCTCCAGCCTACCCGTGGCTTTTTTTGAAATCACGCTGTCAAAGAGTGTTTTTTCTCTTTGGAATCACCAGTCGCTCACTCACTTGCTTGCTCGCTTCGTCTGTGAAAAGGTCCCGTTTTGTTTTGACTTCACGCCGTGGTGCCCTGTTTTCTTGCTTAATCTCCAGCCCAACCGTGGTTTTTTTGAAATCACGCCGTCAAAGGGTGTTTTTCTCTTTGGAATCACCAGTCGCTCACTCACTCGCTTGCTCGCTTCGTCTGTGAAAAGGTCCTGTTTTGTTTTGAATTCACGCCGTGGTGTTTTTTTGTTGAAATCACGCCGTCAAAGGGTGTTTTTTTCTTTGGAATCACCAGTCGCTCACTCACTTGCTTGCTCGCTTCCTCTGTCTAAAAAAACACCAAATGAGAATCCAAAATGAGGAAATCCAAAATAAACACGGCTGGCGTGAATCCAAAAAAAAAACACCGGTTCCCACCACACACCTACCACCCACACACACACACCACACACACACACACCACACACACACACACTTAGTCTGAGTAGGTGAGCAATGAAATCATTTCATCTGAATAGTGCTCTCGAGCAGTTAATTCGGCGGCTAGAAGTGGGCAAAAAAAAAAAAACAGCAACTATCTTTATTGTTACTAGAAAGCAACCCTTTGCGCGGAGACTGCGAACATATGGTCAGCCCGAGGGCTGGTCAATACCGAGCTGGAAGCACATGTTCTACACATCAGTTCTACTAATATATACCTACATACCGACCGACCGACCTATCCATCTGTCTATCTATATCTGCTGACCAGAGGGCGTGCAAGTAACTTGCAGTAGCTGCAAGAGTGGTTCCATCAAAAACGCGCGCAAAGGAGCGCCGACCGCGGCCAATATGAAGAATTGCGGCAGGGGCCATTCTTTGCCAGACCTGAGAAGCAGGAGCCAAGGGGTGAAGAGCAAACAATACGTTCATAGGATGGCAACATATGGCAACCCAGACTAACTGGTGTCAAACACGGCCTGCATTTGATCCCGAAAAGAGCCGGCAAGCGCTTGCCGCTGGCGCAGTCAACAGGACCCTCCTTCCGCTGCTGCCGCAGCTCTTGAAGGGCCTGTGCCTGTGCCTCGGTAGCGATCGCCTGGTGGCCATAGAACTCCATTTGGGGGTGGGTAAAATTGAAAAGGAAACAAGGACTAAAACCAGCGGTCCCCTGGTGGCATAATTTTGACCCACACCCATTTCTGTCGGGTCATTCTACAAAGCATTGCTCGCACTTAGCAAGGCTGAGTAAGACCTTTTCTCCCTGCCCAAAAGCAGAACCTAAGTCTGAATCGTTGTGCTGCCCATTTGAAAGTGCTTAAACAAAGCATCTCCCAGCAAACCCTGGCCACAATATGTAAGATGTGGAATTATTGATACTGGCCAACACTCGCGCCGGTTGGGTTTGCTGTCCGATGGAGCCATGAATTTAGGGCAAGACAGGAACCCTCATGGGTCAGATAACCCTCATGGGTGAGATTGCAACCCATGACAGGGTGGCTACACTTCGCTACAACTTGCCCAACCTCTGTCTTGTATTGCCCATGCCGAATTCCCCACGGACCAAGTGGTTCTCAAAACAAGGTGGCGCGCAGTCTCCGATCCTGACCAAATCGTGGCAAGCCAAATGCAGGCGAATATGCTCCTTCCACAAAGATTCAGCTGATTTCTTTCCAGCCCCTCTTGAACCAAGCTTGCTGTACCTCGGAAAATGTGGGTCTAAAGCGGACTGTTTGGTGGAGGATCTCACAAGCAGCCGGATTTCGCACTCTCGGTTTAGTGTCGCCAGATACAGCTCTCACTAACTCCCATTGCACAAACCGACAACCCAATTGCGTCTTAAACTACACTGAAACATATACAAATAGACATACTAAAATATTCCAATATGCATTACATATACATCTGCAGCATTCTGCGTTCTGTATTCTGGCTTCTTGACTGAACTGGCCCATCAAAGTGAGGGCTTCTTGCCCAGCAAATTCCAGGACATAGCTGTGGATAGACGAAATTCTGCACCTAAGACGCCCTGGGAAT